AATTTTATGCTATCTCATATTTTACTGTATGGCCTGCTAATTCAAAGGCTTGTTTGAATTGAAATCTTCTCCTTGTATGTTAACTCAGGTAAGGTAAGGTAAAGTAAATATCTTTTCTTAATAACCTCAATTCCTTAGTCTTTACTGTGATTTTTAGAATCTTGTTCTTTTCTCCTGGATTTATGATTTGTAAACTTCACTTGAGTTGATTAATTATGCTATGCAATCTTTTTACATTCAGTAGAAACTGTAAGACTTGAAATGAAAAGTCTATGCATTAAATCCAAGGTGACTTATAGCCAACGGTCTCACCGTCTCACCTTTCCAGAACATGTTTATGTACTTGTTTTATAAATTTTTCTTTAATATATTTGTGCAAATTTAGGTGAGCTCTTTAGATTCAAAGCATTGTGAGTTTGTGCGCATTCACCAGAAGGCCGTCCGTGATGTGGCATTTAACAACAGAGGTGATGGTTTATTGTTGACAGCAAGCATGGACAAGACTGTCAGGGTCACCAGTATGCTGAGCAATGCTGTTGTACAGACGTGAGTGGAGTAAAGAGTATTAAGAGAAAAAAGAATTAGTACTTAGTGCAATTTTTTATGTAACAAGTACATGTAGGTTCCATGCTGCCATGTGTCTGTCATGTAATAGATCACAGATCATGTCAAAATGTGATAAAAACAAAAAGTGGCACATGAGGCTCAGCTGATTGTGTCACTGATGTTGTTTATCCATGACTTGAAAAGACCTACGGAAATAAAGAATCTATTTGTTTTATTTGATAAAAAGCAAAATGTCATCAATGGTGATGTCATCTATGTGTCTGTCCTCCAATAGATCAATAGTAAGCACCAATAAATGTATGCATGATTCAACTCATCATATACAAAGTAATGTGTTTTAGTCAATGAGGACAAGGCCTGAATCAACTGCAGGTACATGTATCATGTATGGTCTGAGGCCAGCATTGTATTGAGTTTAATTTCACTGGTATAACATTTTGCCTCACCCAAAGTTCTCTTTGGTTTAAGTGTTAGCAAATTATTGTGTTTTGAATCATAGTTACAATACACCAGTTCCTGCTTGGTCATGTGCTTGGAATGAAGATGACACCAATTACATCTACTGTGGGCTACAGAATGGCACTTGTCTTATTTTCAACATAAGAAACACTGATTAAAACTTACCTGAAGAGTATTCAGAATACAACAGGGGGTTCCTGTCCTGTCATTGCCTTGGCTCATGTGTCATCAGACCCTCACAGTGCCCTGAGGTGAGATCATGTCAAAATACATTTGGTAGTTTCTCCTTTACCCTTTAACTCACATGGATGACCAAGACAGAATTTCTCCTCACAATAGCCATACAATATTAAGTGCACAGGTAATGAGAATAAGGACAAATGTAAATTAGGGGATTATTAGTTGATCCAACACCAAATTCCTAGAGCTAACACCATAGGAACTGTATGACAGACAGTAAGGAGAATTACCCATGAGATCTTGGAGTGAAGGGTTAAAAACTATTAACAGTGTAATTTTTTCAAGTAGATAGAAGTACATGTACTTTTCTTGAGTGAGTGTGAAAGGAAATTCAAGAGAGAGCTGCATTTTATTGCATCAAATTGACTCAAGGCAACAAAGAATTGATTATTGTTACTGCAGTAGTTGTTCATTAATGCTGTTGAGTGGGGTGTTGAGTGGTTGAGTTTGCAAGCAGGCTTCAATGTTGGCTCTGCAGAATAAGTGTTTCTCCATCTGTTGGAAGATTTTAGAAGAGATAGAGCAAGGTGTGCTAGGGGTGTGGCTGACTGATTTGGCTCAAGGCCTTAAATTTATTTGTTTGTGAATAGGCTCTTGTCTTGAAGTGCGTATTGTGAGGACCTGCTTGTATTGTCAGTGGAACACTTACAATACAATTGTGATTTAGGTTAAGTTAACAACTGTATACAATTGGAATAATTATTGTTAATATTATGTACACTGTATGGTACAACACACATAGGTTTGTCAACATTTTGGGAAAGGTGTGGGTGTATCATCAGTTGATAAAAAAATATGGAGGATAATTGGTGAATGTTAGTACATTGTGGCTGTGTGGAAAACATGAACACTTACTGGTACTGGTAGTTATTGATGATAAACATCATTGTTCAAGGGCATCCAGGGAAGGATATCTGATAAAAACAAAGAATTTACTTGGTTTGGTTTTAAGTAGTGCTACAGCTGTTGGTGTGGAATTGGATGAGTTGATGGTATGGATTGAAAGAGTACAGATATGAAAAGAGGAATGTTACTCACCATTGTTCTCATACTCTGCCATTCAATTTTGTTTGTATTCTTGTACTATATGCTGGTACAACTAACCAGCAGTGCAGGCTGAATGATCCTGTACATGTATTTGGCTTGGCAATAATTACAAACTCTTGTGTTCTACAATCATGTTATTTTCAGATGCCAGCCTCTGTACCTGTCAAGCTGTCAATCAATGTGTTGGCGGCCCAACACAAAAGCTTCTCAGCAAATCCAGGTTATTCACTTGTCCTGATGATTGCAACACTCTGATGGTGGCAGCTGGTGATGAGAGCCTCTCATCAGTGAGTTTTCCTCAAGCTTTGGTGTATAGCAGTTTTATTATGTGCAGTGTTGCACTTGCTTAAACACATCAGGGGTAGCCAAGAGTGATGATAAATTTAACCCTTTCACATTTAAGATCTCAAGAATTACCCTCTTTCCCACATGTATCAACAGCTAATTTACAGTATTTTTTGGCCACTTCTGAAAGTGAAAGGGCTACATGTATGCTAAGAAAAGTCTTGAAAAAACTACATGTGTAACCAAAATTATTTACTATATCTTCATGCAAAAATGTTCTAAAATATGTAAGAATTTGTTTCATTATGCTAAGAGAACAGAAGTATGTACATGTCATGATCTTAACAGCAGCATACCTCTCAGCCATAAGATTAAACATTCTATCCAAAAGAAAGACATTCTCAAGCAGGTACATGTACCCAGCATTGAGAAAATGTCTACCTTTTGTGTGGTTATGTGGATGAACACCAACTTAGTGTGCAAAATGTTTGTTACTTGTTTTTTTATTCCCTAGACTTTGATATGGAATGGCAGCAATGGAAACCAGCTGCAGAAACTACCCAACCAAGGAAAAGAGATCTTAGATGTTCTTCCCTTTGCTGCCAATGGAAATGACTATCTGGCTACAATTGATGAGCAGAAATTAAGTGTTTACAAATGGATGAATGTATAAAAATTTATTAATGAATTCTGAATCACTCAAAGTACCCATTTTTTTTTTTGTGTACCAATGTGTTGTAAGATCTGTGTCTACAATTGTACATTAAAGGCTATGGGAAGAGAAGAAAGCAAACAAGTTCTGTGGAATCTGCAGCTTAATTCTTTTGTATCCTTTGGGGAGGAGAATGCTAATCTGTAGAGCTGAAGGTAGTCTTTCAAGCACACCACCAAACATTTCTAAGGGAATGAGAAGATGATTGAAGTCTGTCAGTGGGATGAACTGCTGTTGTATTGATGTTCAGAACAGGACTGCTGGAATGGTGGAAAGTGTTAAGAAAGTAACAGCTCAGTACTGGTCCATAAAGATGGAACAGATTATCCAAATTTTATGAAAACCTGTAATATAATAAACTGTGAATGAGTTGTTCAAGTTGTTGCATTCATCACTCTATGTTAATCTTGTTACCATTATTACAGAATGTAATTTTTGGATTCAATGCCTTTGGCTTTGTCTATCTCTGCACCACTCAACAACATACATGCCATTAAGTGAGAGATGCATATTAATTAAGTGTACGCTAGCAAGGTTGCCAATTATGTTTAAAACAAATGAATGACAGGAAGAAGTTCTAAAAGAAATTGTGGTGCTACATTGCTGAGGGGTATTACAAGATAATTTGGTTTTCTCAGCTAAGGTGAAGTTGTAAATTGAACACCATGAGTTTCTAGCACTTTCCCACCAGTTTTGTCAGTACCTGTTGATACCAGGTTGTAAATTGGCCACCATGAAGAGTTTCTAAAGATGTTTCAAGTGCTAGCCAGCCCTTTGTCAGAGCAAAAATTGAGAGACACACTTACTCTTCCAGAACAACATGAGGAATGTGCCACTGAGCATTGGGTTTTTATTTTTTATTACTTTTTTTCTCAGTCAGCTCTTGTGTAACTTTAACCCTTTGACTCCTAGAACTGATTAACACTTTATTTCTCCCTATTATATCCATTCATTATCCAATAAACAGGTGATGAGAAAAATCAAACTTATCAGGTACATTTAGATGTACCTTGATCTAGCACCAAGTTCTCTCAGCTAATTTACTATGAAATGTGTTGCATCTATAAAGGAGAATTGATAATCAGATCTTGGGAGTTGAAGAGTTAAGTTAAATTGTGGGGACAAAGGAAAAGGTGACTTTCAGGCTTTCACAGTACTTGGGAAATGCTTGCTATATTGTATCAATGAAATTTTGTATTAAGTTGTAACAGTTTTCAATTTGACATTTACTCAAGCACTTTATAATATACATTGTTGGATGGGAAAACATTAAATTCAATAACTGTTAGTAAAAAGTGGTTTTCTTAACTGCTAATTGGCTAGTTTGGAAGTTAACAGCAATTACCACACACCTCTGAGTAGCCAATGAGACAAAATTGCACATCAAGAGTTAAATTTCCAACCATTTTTTGGTATACTGGAGAAATACACTAATTTTTGGTATATGTGTGGTATACACTTAGTCTAAAAACAATTATTCACCTCTGCGTTGGTGAAAGTGGATATTTATCTCACCACTTTGTGGTGTAGTATGTATTCACCAGTATTCACCTCCACTGTAATGAATAATTGTTTATTATAATAAATATCTTAGTAAAATAATTTTATACAACTTATGAAATAACTTGAGTGAAAATTTTAACCTTACAATTACTTTCTTCTTAATACTAGTGAATTTTTCTTACTCCTTTTAAAAATATATTTTAATATATTCTTGAACACATAACTTACCATATTTGACTGACAGGGAACATTTAAGGTTAACTTAACTGAGAAAAACATTTTTTTGGTCAATTTAGGAAATTTCCATTAACTGATAAAAGTCGAGTTAAATCAATTTTACAGAAGTGTTTGAAAGGACAAACAGGTACACACCTTGGTATAATAATCTTAAACTAGCATGCTTATGAATTTTTTCCCGAAGGACACCCATGAAGGTGCGAAGTAACCTTAAGCACCCATAAACCCACCCTGATTGAGTCTCCAGCTATTTCCCTTCTGAGTGGCTATCATGCTCTGTGTACTGCAAGAATGCCTGGAACAGGCCAAGGAATGCATCCATACCAGTGAAGTAGATGATGTCACTGCTGTGTGTAAGAGATACACACAGGCTAACTGTAAGAATGCAAAGCCAACCATATGAGGAACACTTGGACTGGCAAGTGTGGAGGTTCCATACAGTAAATTGCTAATCACAAGATAAGTTTCACAAAAATAATTAGCCATACAGCAGTAGGAAATTATTCAGGTAGATAACAATATCCAGGAGGTGCCCCTTAAAGCTTTTACTGGAGCTTTGAAGGTTCAATCATATGCCTGTTGACATTACGTGCTCCAATCAGCAAACAGCCACAGAACAAAGATGCCAGCTCAAGACAAACAAAGACACCTCCCCAGTCGTACACCTTACTGATTGTTGTCAGAGGAATTCCTGCCAGTGTTGCTCCCACTGGTTAAAAAAATGAAAAATGTAAGAAGAATTTTAAAGCACAAACTTTGAATTTGAGTTTTGGCAATTTTATGTAATTCCACTCATGAATAGGGAAAAAAAAAGGGGGAAATGGTTTTTTTTATTTGCTGACAGTGGGATAGAGTTCCTTGCTCTTTTGGCAGGTGGCTTTTGATTCAGTACATGTAGAAGGACACAATTGTGGTATTTGGTTTTAGCTAGTAATGTGGACTCACAAGGCAGGCATGAGAAACTTTTTAGCATGGGTAAGAGCAGTAATGTTTCACACCAGAAACTTGGGAAACACAGAAGATGAGTAACAGTTGGTGAGTTTGCATATTAAGCTTGCACATTAACCCTTTACTCACTTACATCAGTATGCATAGTATCCATACTGTTCACCAAGGGTGCTAGCAAGGAATTTATTTAACTGTTTCACTATCAAGACTGCATTTCTTAGCAATTCTCATTACTGTCCATTATACAATGTTTTTAGTGTTAGTGTGGAGAATTTGGTGCTCAATCAATAAGTAATCCCCTAGTAATTGATATTTATCTTTATTCTCCTCTCTTGTTTGCTGAACATTGTTTTGATATTGTAAGGAGAAATTCTGTTTTGGTCACCCATGGGAGTTACAGGGTTAGGGACCAAGAGCTTTTTTTGTTAGTTGGTTACCATTTCCTTTATTCTCATGACCTTAATGTTTGATTCAAGGGTGATATTGTAAGGAGAAGTTAGATGCTAATCACTCTTAGGGGGCAAAGGGTTAAAAGATTAAGTTAAAAAATACTGTTTAAACATGAATCTTGCAAACTGCCTATGCACAAGACTTGGAGTAACAATGCCATTGCTCACCGTTTGCAGCTAAAGCAACAATTGCATGAGATGTTCCGCTGAGTCCTGGTGGACTGTTCTCCATGGCCAGCACTCCATACAGATTTATTGCTGTGTATAATGAGAAGCCTATGCCAAATATCAGTGTTGAAATAAACCACTGCAACAGAATGAGAGCAAATTAAGTGAGTGCTGATACTTCATGACTTTGCCTTAAACTTCCAAGATCTGATTCTTCCATTTAGCTGCTACACATTTCCTTGTAAATTATGGTAAGTTATAACAATTTGGTGTTAGGTCAAGATAATGTGTTCTACCTGATAAGTTGCCTCTTTCTGTTTAAAGTACCTAGAGACATTCTTAAATATTAATTTAAATTTGAATGGAATGGCAGTTTAAATAGCAGAAGTACCAACACTCTCACACACTTTACTAAATGGAGACTATAGAAGGTAAGTTAAAAGACATCATGAAAACTCAGTGGAGTTTTTGAGAGCATGAAGAGTCCATCTATAATATAATTATCAACAATTTTGTTATAAGCAAAATTTATCAAGGTTGCATCTACAATCTGTATCAACTGCTAATATATTGTCGTAACGATGGAAGCCATAAATGTTAACAACTTCTGTTTACTTCAAACCCTTTCACTCTACAGTGTACTACTAAAGATCTTGCTGGTAGTTCTCTTCACTGTTTATGGTGCATTTCTCCTCATATTGGTTATAGGCAAATTCATTGTTAAATTATATTGTCTCAGTTGCTACAAATACTGCTGCAGTTGCTATTTTTCTTTATTCTCATAACCTTCCTGCTTGATATTGTATCAATACTGTTGGGAGAAATTACTTCTCAGTCAATCCAAGGATTGAAAGGATTAAGAGTAAAATATAAGCATTAGCAGTTGCAGCAGTTATCAAAATATGCCTCCATACCAGTGAAGTGGATGATGTTACTGCTGTGTGTAAGAGATACACACAGGCTAACTGTAAAAATGCAAAGCCAATCATAGGAGGAACTCTTGGACTGGAGAGTGTGGAGGTTCCATACTGTTACAAACAGACACATAACATAATTATCAAGTGGTGAACTGATTAGAAAAACTTAACATTAAGTGATCAATTAAAATATCTCTTAGTTTTAACAAGCTGCATAAATTGTCTTACACTTAAAATTAGCTTGCATGCTGAACCTGTAATGAAAAGCATATTGAACTGGACATGAGTGAGGAAGAAAAACATTAACTAAAGTATCTTCAGATTGCATTTTCTAACAGAGAGCACACTTTTGAACCCTATTTCAACATGTTTTAGACATTCAGCATATTGTGCTAATGTTAATGACTGTGGGTGCAGTGAAAACCATATTACCCCAGATCCATATGATTCCAGTTTTTCCATGCATTGCCAGAAGGCCTACATCAAAGTTAAACTTGGAAAATAATGATACAAAACATGATTCATTATTTTCTTTTTTTTTTTTTTTTTTTAATTCAAATTTTCACCTTCAGAACACTTCAGAAGACCAATTGACGCACACAGCCCTTGGACATAATTTGGTTCCATGAATTTTTTTGACAGATGAAATTTAACTTCTCCAATAAAGAAGAATAACTCTGACTTACAAGTACGTTCTTGAAAAGTTTTTTACCAAAATCACCTGGTTTTTGTTGTTGTTTTTCTCAGTTACGTGAATAACCAAAAGTCTGTGCCAAAATTTAATTCAAGTGTTTGACCAGGCCCAACAGAAAAAACAGTTTCCTTATTTTGCAGTACATCAATAAGGCTGTGGGACAAAGATCAATTAGTGAGAGCTAATGTCCAACCTTAAGCACCAACTTGTCCGTTATATAACCAGATGTTATGCTACCAAAGAGTCCACCTATCTCTAAAAAACTCATAGCAACACTACCTGGGGATAAGAAAACACAAACATTAAAAATCAAAGTGTGAAAACAAATAATGTTATGTGACAGTGTTCTCCTTTTCAGGTGACACACAGTGAAATTCATTGCCTGTTGTTCTCTTTACATTTCACCTGGTAATAACAAGGAGCTCGAGAATTTGGTTGACAATCAAGAGCTTCCCAAATTGGAGATCATTTCCATTATTCTTATGACCTTTTCATTTGATTCATGGGTGGTACTGTAAGGAGAAATTAGTCATTCTTAGAGGTTAAAGAGTTATTTAAAAAATTGGAGATTCAATCCAAAACAACATGTAGAACAGTTTAAACTCACTATCATATTGTGTTCTTCCAATTGTCTGTATCAAAAATAGTTGTGTCCATTCACCAACTCCAGTCTTCACAAACAAAGTCAGTAGATATCCTGCACTTAAAACCCACAAAAATGGACTGTGAAGCATTGTAATAATGTAGTCCTTCTTGTTCTCTACTGTTTTGTTTTCAGTTCTTGATTTCATAGTAGTTCTTTGGGTAAATTCCTCCAGTCCTATTTCTGATGGAGAATCACAAATAAGGTAGTAAGCTAAAACAGACATTGCGGCAGTACTGACTCCAGGAGTAATGAATGCTGCTGACCAACCAAAGTTTGAAGTAAGAAATGCTGTTAACACCGGAGAAATGCTCGTTGCTAGGTTACAGCCAGCTGTAAGAAGACTCCACAGGGTACCCAACTAGAATAGAGGAGCCATGCACACAGCTTAGCTAATAGACATTCACAGATAAATATAGAGTTTCAACTGCATTAGCCAAATAGGTACAGGATGTAAGTGGAATCAGTATTCTATCACAAATGCTGTAATTTCATTGGTTACACTACTTGTTACAGCATCTATTCTGTGATACACAAAATAACTGACATAAACATGAGCCCTTTATGTTAGTATTATGATTGATCAGTAGATAAACATAAACTATAAGATTATTCGCTCTCGACTTTTATACATGATAGAAATCCCTCTCTATGTAATTTTTGATTGAAAAGACGAAATGTTTATCCAGGCTATGATGTATTCATAGAGTTAAGGTCTGTAGCAATAGATCAACTACCTCATCTTTCTCCTATTCATAAATTTTGATTATAGTTTAAGGCAGCTAAGAGCTCAACCTCTAAAAACAATGTTTAAAATTTGTAGGAAGAAGTTTTTAGGTGAGCTTGTTTTGGAACGGAACTGGTAACAATATTTAAGGATGTAGCTACACATGTATGCCACTACTTGATACTTATTTTATTGACACTGATTTATAATTATTATCGATATCGATACTGCGAATTTCCTCCTCCCAACTCATTTAATATTTTGGTCAAAGTAATTTAAGTCTATTTTAAAATATAATTAAGCCAAAAACTCGACTACGGTCGCTAGGCATTTGTTGCACGTGATAAACTAGTGTTTCAGTTGAAATAAAAAAATATTTCATGTTCAGTTCTGTTTGCTGTGATGAGATATAACTTTTTGTTGAAGCTGCTGTCTTTAAATACAAAAAGGAAAGACAGATTTTGCCGATCACCTATTCAAAATTTCGATTCACAAGTTTCCGTGATTACCCACCTCATAAGGAGAGAACCACTCTCTGAGTAATTTAGTACACGGCGGCCAACCACAACCTTGAGCCAGACCATTCATGCTCCAGAGAAAAGTCAAAAGCCAGACGTTCCCAGTGAATCCAATAAGAATGTTTATCATCCCAGTTAATAACATTCCTGCCGTAAACATCGTTCTAGGACTCAGAGTATCTGATAATAAGCCGCCCGTAAATTTTCCAACACCGTACATCGCTGCGAAACCACTCGTTATTGCACCGAGTTCATTCTTTTTTAGGTTAAGGTCTTGTATTAAGGCCGGTATGGCGAAGGTGTAAGACTTTCTGGAGAAATAATAGGAGGAGTAACCTAAAAATAGTGAGATATAAACCATCCATCGAATTATTTGATAACGGCGAAAGTTGGAGTCCTTCAGAGGCGCCATGTTTGTTCATGCGACTGGGTAATCGTTAATTTTGTCTCGCAGCTGTTGTTGGGCTCGTCACGCAACTATATCTTGGCTTGTCACGCATTATGTGGCAAGCTAAAATGAGAGCCTTGGGGAGACCTGAGACCTCTCCTTTCATCCATAGCAGGTAGTGTTCCTCTGTCGAGCCTCTTTCGTCTAAATAGTTCCAGCTTCAATCCGTTTTAAATATCCCACCCAATGATTACCCCTGGGGAAAGATTGGTCCCTAATATACCAGCGTATGAGAGTTTCTAAGAAGAATAACCAGATCAAGTAGAAAGTTAACAAACGTGACAAAAAAAGCTTCCCTAGTGAAGCTGTAACTTGACTTTTCCTGGAATATAATTTCTTTGGCATTCATGCTTAAAATTTATTTCTTACACACATTCATCGTTGTAAAAGTTTTCAATGACTCCTATCAAGTATTCTAGGAATCAATCTTTAAAAATTCACGTTTACTCTGAAACATAATTCTCTTTCGATTTCAACGTTCAGCGATCATTTGTTATCTGAAACATGACTTTCCCTGGGATATTTACTTCACGTGGAAATCGCGTATCGAGATCTGAAGTGACCCTAAGTTGTTATTTTAACTCGATTTACAAGTTCTCTCGCTCACAGACCCGGAGAAAGCGGATCAATTGGAGACTCCTAACAAGTGCAAGGACACTCCACCGAACGGAGGTCGTGCCACTTTTTTTTAATAGTGCTGTTTTCGTTGCGAATAGAATGTGCTGTGTATTAAATAATAATGAAGCAGGATATACCTGTAATTTGAGCTTGGGTAACCTGTGAGATGAGACACTTTGGTGGCACTGTGTGTCTAGCAGCTTTGGTTATGTTATGCAACAGTCACTTAGTATTAAAGAAGAGACACAAAACAGGTCTTTCTATTGATGTGTAGTTTTTAATATCTAGAAAACACGCATGTCAAAATTTCAATTAAGGGACTAGTCCTAATTTATCGCCCTGGGTGACGAGGGGGGGGGAGGATTTTGGTTGTGTCACGGTAAAACCTACCTGACCCCCCCCCCAGCTCTGAAGTATTCTGGTGACCCCCCTCATTTGCATTCAGTTTTGTACAGTCCTCCCTTTATATTCTGTTACAGACGACTGATCCCCTTTCGTCCCCCCACCAAGACAATCCTCCAGTTCCCCCCTTCCCTCCACCCTTAGTGATAAATTATTGACAGGTCTCAAAAGCGAATAAAGATTATAACAATACATAAAAGTGACGTCAAGATTTCCGCACCAGTCCTCGTTTCAGGCGAAGTTATAAACTCATGACCTATTTAAACTTTACACGAAAAGACAGCCAATGATATTTTAACTCATGATTTCCGCTGTGTCTGTTCTCTACTTTTGCGTTTATTGAGATACTCTCCTTAGTAGGTGATAGAGAAGTGAGGAATTGGCGAATTCCACCCCTGTTCTCGATTTTGAAAATTAGGGGAACCCAACACTTTCCGGCATTCAACTTCCTTTATTAAACTGTTAAACCGTTACAGTCTGCCACTTTATATCGTACAATTTAGCTTTAAATAACTTTTTCTCATTTGTTTGGGAATTACAAACAGCTTTTTTCAGTCTTTTCGATAGGGGAGATAAACGAGGGCAGCATCAATCAGTTACTGTCAATCATAAACCAACGCCCTCCTGTAAGTGTCTGTATGTGAAACTACCATTGTCAAATACTTCTCGTGAACCAAACATGAATAAAACCACCCATGCAGAAAGACTTAAACCTCTTTTCACAATGACTTTATTTGACGTAAAATGGGGTAAGCTTATTAACACATCCAGTTAGGCGGAACATTTTCGCAACAATTATCCGTCTGCGCGAGTTCTAGTTGGATATTTGCATAGTCTTGCAAACTGAACTGTTGCTGTGGGTTTATTATATCAGCTTTTCTCTTTGACTCTTTGTTAAGGCTGTTAAGAAAACTTGAAAAGAAAGTCGGAAACACAGAGGTAAGATTTTGGTTGTTGTAGATGTGATTAAATCATTTCGCTGTCCTGATAGCTCGTCGACACAAACGAAGGTGCCTTTGGGCAAGTCCAGGGTTGCAGTTAGATATTTCCAGAATCCTGCGTGTAGTAACTAAAAAAGAACTCAGGAACTCCGGGATAAGATTTTGGCTGTAGTAAGACAAGTGTATGTGATTAAACTCGCCCTCCCGAGATCTCAGCGACATACACGTAATTGCAGTTACAGATGCAATATTACCTCGTTAAGCAAAATCCCTCTTTCAGTGAAGACCACCAAAAACAGTGTAATTCTGTCGGCTTTCAATGTTGGGGCGGCCTTTAATTTTGTTTAGCAGTGTACGTTTATACAGAATATCAGTTATTCAGCGAAGAGTCTTGGATATTGATCGCATTCATAACTGTATCCCGGTCAGGAGGGTCACATTAATCGCAATCGACTTTGGAGCAGGGAAAACTGCAGATGAATAACAAATTTAGTTACAACTCTTGTCATCAATCCTAACACATCAAACCATGTGTTCACTGCACCTTCACCAGCGTAAATCGTTGGAAAAATCGTCCGCGGATATTTCACGGATTACCGTGGATCTAACAGAAGAATAAACAATTCTAAATGCTAATGGTATATTTGTTGTTCACCAAAACTGACCGATAGATTCTTGATTTGGGTAGAATTAATACATACATAGTCGATCATTGCCTGTCAGCGAAGTTTTTCTTGCCAATATCGCAGAAAAACTCCAAGCTAGTTGGAAATATCTGGATGATAAACCTAATTCGATTTTTGGGAAGGAATGCGTGACGTCATGAGTTCCGGTTTCAGTTTCAAATGGAGGGGAACCCCCTCATTACCACTTTCGGGGAAATTTCCCTGTTGCGCTTGAGATGTTTGAAGAACTTCCGGAGTGTTTAAGAAGACCCACCATAGAAGTGCTTGAAACTGGATCTTTTTAAGGGAAGTGGACACATATTCCCTTCTGTTAGGTTGTTATAAGAACACATTTGATGAACACATGGTTTAATAGAGGGCGACGATCTGATTGTAGCAGAGGTGTTTATTACCTTCGAACTCAGATGATCTTAACCGTTCTGACAAATAGAGCTGTCCACGCATTTATCTCTAAGTGATTCCAGTAACATGTGTTAAGTTGGCTCAAGGTTTCGTCAGCAGTTTTTTGCAGTACATATTCTTTTGCACTCTAATTATATTCGGGCTTCAGGCTATGTGACTTATCTAACGCTTGTGCGCCAAGTTCGTTCTGTTTACTCTGAATAACACAGGTTGATTGTGGCTCAAAATCAATGTTACCAACCCTGCGATAGTAGCCCTAATTCTCCGAATGAACCCCTCGATTTCTTACCCTCTGTGAATTTCATTTTCCATCAAAGCCTTGAACTTTCTTCAAGAAACAATTGTGGAATATTCAGCTGTCTTGATTGTTTTCGCCCATTTATATCATTATCAGAAAAATTATTTCGAAACATCAACTAATGACGAGTGAACGAAGTACTGATTATGTTGAATTTTGGGCTAAAAGGGCTAATACTTAAATTAGTCAGGAATTATATGGCTAAGCCTTGGTTGTGGACTGAGGTATGCTCTGCAAATTTAGGCAGGTATAAATGTTGAAAGCCTTTCCTTTTCGATTTCAACTTAATACAACCAAAGCCGGTGAGATTGAGCCCAAATTGACATCATGAAGTTTTAGAGTATTTGGTTCTTTTGCAGTGATGGCGGAAGGTGGTAAGGTCAGCGTTGATGATGGGAAATCTACAGACGGTAAGAAAGAAAACAGCTTAATTACAATTAACTTTCTGTTTTGGAAAAAGTCACACGGTCAATATTTCCAGTTTGGGGCTTGATTGACAAAACACATCGTTTGACAGCTTTTCTCAAACATGATGATTAAGAAAAGTAAAATCACTAGGGAAATATTCGTGAAAGGTCTTGTTTTTTAAGGATATGGTTTCACCATAAACGTGATGTTGTGTTTTCCAGCTGCAGAGGAACGTCAAGTCAGATCTGGTGACTTAAAACTGAATTTAGTTGATGATATTCAGGCAGGTGAGTAAAGTGGTCTTACAGGACATAGTAACAGTATGAATTTATGATGTGACTCATGTCTTACCCAATTCTTGAGTTAAAAAGAAATCTACGCCAAAATTCTGATACTGAGAGAAAAATTTGGGAGTATGAAGTTATCGACTGCTTGACCTAACACAACCTTTAGGGTAGCGTATTTCTCAGACTGTATGGAATATTAAATGTGATCTCGTAAGGAACATAAAAACAAAACAAAAACAACTTAGAAAGACTGTTGTCCTTTTCGTGCCTTCGAATGCCTAACGTTATGAAAAAGGACCACCAGAGCGATCTTTTCTTCGCTTTGTCCCCAGTACCTCTCTCCAGGTAAAACAATTCCTCTTCATCTACATTTCTATTGTCCGCCTTCATTTCTCTATCGTTGTTCCTCTCACTCCCGCCTCGATTAGAGTCCAGCACCTGACGTTTTTGCTGATTTTGTCGATAAGACCAATATACATCTGTCCGTTGAACTCGTCAATCAGTGTTTAATAACACGACATGTCAGTGCCGTGGCGTGCGGTTGGGAATCTTCTTTAGACGGCGTACTTCTTCAAAATCTTCTTTCGCCGCTTCTACATCTTAATTTTAGCTTCAATGGAAAAGTTACATCAAACGCTGGAGGTGGAGTTTGACTATTTCTCCAAATACCTCGATTCACGTTGTTTTGAATTACCTTATCAGTGTTTGTCTATGTTGTTCCAACGTATATTTGATTTTTTACTTTACTTGAGCTGGTATGGTACAATTTAGGTTTGAAACTGTTCAGTGGCTGACCTATCACGCCACAATGCTTGGAGGCCAACAGAGAGATCAGAAAGATCCTTGTCCCCTATATACTTGTCTGATTATTTTTCTGTCGTTATAGACGTTCCGGCCGTTTTACCGTCAGATGGTACATCGCAATTTGACGATGCAACCTTAAAAGGTAAGAATAACAGTTAAAATAAACACAACCTATTCAATAAGGTATAGTTATCAAATCAATAAGGGTTACGCAATCCTTTTAAGAGAGGCACACAAAGGGACCTGTACCGCTTAGTGATCATGTAACAGGAAAAATGCAGACAAATTTTGCATGTCAACAAAATTACTTCAATATTTGACAGCCAGTTCAAACTGCTGCTCTCCTGGATATTTAATCCATCTGCATATGTCTGGCTGCTATTTTGTGTATCCCTATTGAGTTATGTTCTATATCATGGATGTTTTCTGCTTTTTTGTTAGCGATGACGGAGGTGTACTTGAAAGAAGGTGACAACGAGTACAGCAAAGGAGAAACCAACAATGCAGTACACTTTTACTCGGAGGGACTGCAAGTGAACTGCAAAGATGTCAAACTAAACGCCAAACTCTATAGCAACAGAGCAGCGGCTCAGCTCCTTCTGGGTAAAAATTAATCAATTGTTCCAGTTTTGTATCCATTTTGATAGGGAATGATTATAATTAATCATTTACAGTTCGAATGGTGTGCGTGAAGGTAAACTTTTGCCGCGTTTGCAGCAACCTCAAGGTAATATGGGAAGGTAGCGCTGGCATGACTGGGACAGGCTCAATGCACGGCCCCGTCACCAACATCACTCGTTCTGGCCGATTTTCTATTCGTCAGCTGGCTATTTGAAAAATGGGATAAAATCTGACACTAAAAATTGTGAACCTAAAACTAGCCAATCAGATATATGAAAATCAGGTCGAAAATAGACAGACTGAAAGACTGAAAGACCTTTTCGCTAATTTGGCTACTTACCCAGCAGTGAGAAAACATTATTAGCTGCTACGTTTAAAATAGACTCCAATTCTGAAAGTTGAGAATTTGTACTTCCGTACTCATATGAAATTGTTTTGTTAGGAAATTTTCAAGAAGCTTTGGATGATGCTACATTGTCTGCTCAATTGGCACCAACTTTCATTGAAGCAATAGAAATCGGTAAGTTCTAGACATTTCCTGAGACATGCAAGAACTGTCTCCGAGGATGACCAAAAGGTTGGAATTCTGACCAGTTGACCATTCAGGAGTAAAGCTTGTGCTGGAGTTCCACATTTTCTGATCTTCTTAATCGTTCCACAGTCTAGTTGTATTAGCTTAATTTCGACTTTGCTTTTGACAGACCCTCTACCAAAAGCACAATGAAAATTCAAAATTTCTCATTTTGAAAAGTAATCCTCCTACTCTCAGAGTGTTCTAGATTAAGTTGTAAGTTCTGATAGTTTCATAAAAAAGCTACTATATCGTCACATTTATTACATAAACTGCGATGTTTTACAAGGGTTTCCAGGCCTAAGAAATGTTTTAACAGCACACGTGTAAAATTACGATAAGCCTTATCGCCCACGCACTTTACGACTTTTCTTCCAGGATCGAGGATCCTTTTTTTATTCGTTGATAAAGTCGACTTTTCTTGTCAATGAAGACTATTATGTCTATATAACAAACAAAACAATACATGGTTACTTGCAGAAATGGAACTTCTCTTCGACTGTTCAACCCGATATCTCACTCTTCCCTTGTTCTCACTCGTGAGCTATCGCGTTGACCACTCGAAGAGAAATTCCATATCTACGCGCGCCCATGTACAATTCTCACTCGATTCTAGTAAATTTACTTTGATTGCGCACATTGCGAGACATCACTAAAGTTAATATTTGTGAGATTAAAATAGAAGTACAAATTGAGGTGTTTTAGTATCTGCAGTGGGAAAAATGATCTTCCTTGATACAATTTTTTTCAATTTCTTTTAGGGGCCAGTGCATGTGTACAGCAACACATGTATCAAGAAGCTATAACTTGGTGTCAGAAAGGATTGGCAGTATCCTTTGACGAATATAGAAAAAGCCAATAGTGCTTTGGAGATTTCTCTCATTTAATTACTCATGTCAAAAAGCGAAAAGTAGGCAGTTCCCATATCTTGTTGACCCTGATAAATATACGAATTTAAGAAACCGGGCGACTTGTCATGTAAATGGCCAATAACATCAGAAATCATCTTAAACATTACTGGTTTCAAACGTTTACCTGAATGATGCCCGTAATTATATCACCTTTTACCATAACACTTAATAGGTGTCAAACAAATCCAAATTTCTATCAAACCCCATGCCTAAAAACAAAGCTCTGTAATTCCTTTCCTCTCATGTCCTATCACTGGAGTTAAAACCGTCTGCTTGCGCCATTGGCAGTGTCATTGCCAGCTCCAGTCACCGCAAGTGTGCGGAGTCAGGTGCACATTTACATGTAAGCTTATATACTCGCTAACACAACTGATCTAGGCCATGAGAATTAAGTGCACAATTTTTGTCTAACCTCCTATTCCACTTTGGGCAAAAATACATCCGTGTTATAAACTCTAGTTCGTCGCTTTAATATGTTGCCTAAGTAAAATAAAGGATGTTGATGTACAGGGAGAGTTTTTTTTAAGGATTTGTCTAACTGGGCTTACATTGAATACGTGTAAATATGCAGCTTACTCCACACACTTGCAGTGCACCGGCGGTTGAAGTACTAATGGCGTTCACGTATGCTTGCAGTGCTTCTTGCGCTAGCAGTGGTGCTGGAAGTGATGATGACGATGGCTGCTGCTGCTGCTATTTCTGCTTCTTTCCTCCTCACCACTACTGATAAAAGAAGCAGTAGAGGTAGTTATAGATGTATTTGTATTACTTTTAGCTCTTGTGGCCAATTTTCATCGCACCGGATTGAATGCTGGCGTGGACCGAGTTTGAAATTATAGTGTAAACAGAACTGACCTAAAACTCTTTAGAAGGCAAATTCTTTGACTTGACGCTTTGAAGATTAACAATAACAATAAGAAGTTACTTGATTTGTGGACCGAGTGTTATAAACAACTAACTGGCATAGATGAAACGAGAATTAATCAGGAAATTAACACTAACCGTGACAACACCAAAGCGAAAATCGAGGTAAGAGAACGTTTACGACTTTAAAATTAATCGAAAACCAAGAGTTAACGCGGAGAGGGAGCCTCGATTAGCGTGATTCCATGTAGGACAGACCAGCTCAATTTTTCTGTAGATATATATATATATATATAAGAAGGCAGTTGTTATGTTTGTGATACCTAGAGTATGTTTAAAATCTAAGACGGTCGTGCAGTTGTGTTTCGCTGAGCGCTGTTCACATATTTTTTTCACTCTGATATTGTATATTATCTATTTATCATTATGAATTTATTTAAGCAATTTTCTTAGACTCTGAAGGTAAGTTTTTGCCTAACTTCAAAGATATTATCATTTGTAAGCCTCGAACAACGACCCCTTGGTCAAAACAATTTTCATTTCTTTAGAGAAGAGGCGTAAGGAGAAATGTCCTCTGTCCACACCCAGCTGGCTTGGTTACATAAATTGAGTAGCACCACACGCAAGTCTGGCCCATATAATAGGCCATTGAGAAACGTAATTAAGGATAAGTAAGCCAAGGGGATAAAAGGTAGTAAAACAATTTCAATATTTCTAACTTTAAACCTTAGGATATACAAATCAACGATCAGCTACCTCAAGCAGCTGTCCAAAAGATCCTCCACTATGCGAACATTTTGCATTTTTCTATTGAAGTGGGGGACAAAGCTGGAGAGGGGGGGAGTTCCTGCAGTCTCGGCAATGCTTATTACAGCCTAGGTGATTTCAAAAGAGCCATCCAGTATTATGAACGTCATCTAAAAATTGCCAAAGAATTGGGAGCCAAGGCCGAAGAGGGAAAGAGTTACTGCAATCTCGGCAATGCTTATCATAGCCTAGGAGATTTCGAAAGAGCCATCCAGTATCATGAACGTCATCTAAAAATTGCCAAAGAAGTGGGAGACAAGGCTGGAGAGGGTAAGAGCTACAGCAATCTTGGCATTGCTTATCGTACCCAAGGTAATTTCGAAAAGGCTATCCAGCATCATGAACGTCATTTAACAATTTCCAAAGAAGTGGGAGACAAGGCTGGAGAGGGAAGCAGTTACGGGAATCTCGGCAGTGCTTATCATAGCCAAGGAGATTTCAAAAGAGCCATCGAGTATCATAAATGTCATCTAACAATTGCCAAAGAAGTGGGAGACAAGGCTGGTGAGGGAAGGAGTTACGGGAATCTCGGCAATGCCTATGATAGGCTAGGAGACCTCGAAACAGCCATCCGGTATCATGAACGTTCTCTAAAAATTGCCAAAGAACTGGGAGACAAGGCTGGAGAGGGAAAGAGTTACTGCAATCTCGGCAATGCTTATCGTAGCCTGGGAGATTTCGAAAGGGCCATCCAGTATCATGAACGTGACCTAAAAATTGCCAAAGAAGTGGGAGACAAGGCTGGAGAGGGAAGTAGTTACGGGAATCTTGGCAATGCTTATGATTGCCTAGGAGACTTCGAAAGAGCCATCCAGTATCATGAACGTCATCTAAAAATTGTCAAAGAAGTGGGAGACAAGGCTGGAGAGGGAAAGGGTTACTGCAATCTCGGCAATGCTTATCATAGCCTAGGAGATTTCAAAAGAGCCACCCAGTATCATAAACATCATCTAAAAATTGCCCAAGAAGTGGGAGACAAGGCTGGAGAGGCAAGTAGTTACTGCAATCTCGGCAATGCTTATCATAGGCTAGAAGATTTCGAAAAAGCCATTCAGCATCATGAACGTCATCTAGAAATTGCCAAAGAAGTGGGAGACAAGGCTGGAGAGGGAAAGGGTTACTGCAATCTCGGCAATGCTTATCATAGCCAAGGAGATTTCAAAAGAGCCATCCAGTATCATAAACATCATCTAAAAATTGCCCAAGAAGTGGGAGACAAGGCTGGAGAGGGAAGGAGTTACTGCAATCTCGGCAATGCTTATCATAGGCTAGAAGATTTCAAAACAGCCTTACAGTATCATGAACGTTCTCTAAAAATTGCCAAAGAAGTGGGAGACAAGGCTGAAGAGGGAAGGAGTTACTACAATCTCGGCAATGCTTATTGGGGGTTGGGAGATCTAGAAAGAGCTGTCAGCTTGTCTCGTTGTTGCGTGCTAATTTTTGATGCTATCCGAGCCAATCTGCGGTTCAGAGATGATTGGAAGATTAGCTACCGTGACATGCAAAGAAATGCATATACTTGTTTGTGGCGTCTTCATTTAAAACAAAATCAAATTTTGGATGCGCTTCTATCTGCTGAACAAGGACGTGCACAGGCTCTTAATGATCTGATTTGTTTTAGGTATGGGTCGGGAGGAATACAGCCTCGGCCTCACACTCCAGGGAATTTTGATCTTGAGCTCCTTGCAAGCTGTGCTGTTTCAAATACAGTTTTCATGGCTGTAGATGATAAGGAACGCAAGATATTCTACTGGTTTATTAACAGCTTTCAAGATATTCAATTGAGAAGTACTGAGATAAGTAATTATGGCTCGTTCAAAGATGTCAATACCTTAATTGGAAGCTTAATGAACACAGCATCAAGATCGTTTAAAAGAGGTGTAATTAAATGCGAAGATCGCTCTCTTGATGAGCCCTGCACTGAAGAATTGGTGAAGAAAAGGTCAGGTCATGCTTATTTCTCTCCTGAATGCTCACCGAAAGCTGCCTTGAGGATGTTGTATGACGTTATCGTTGAGCCGATTGGTGATCTCATCAATGGCAATGAAATTATCTTTGTTCCCGAGAGTTCATTGTGGTCAGTCCCTTTTGCTGCATTGATGGATCACGAGTCAAATTATTTGTGTGACTCTTTCCGAGTTCGAACGATTCCATCCCTGACTACTTTGAAGCTGATAAATGATTACCCAGACGACTTCCAATATAAGAAAAGTGCTTTACTCGTGGGTGATCCATGTTTGGAGGGGGTTCTTTTCGAGGGGAGGAAGCTCGATCCACTGCCATGTGCGAGAGAAGAAGTTGAGATAATCGGGAGAATCATTGGCGCCGATCCTCTTATTGGTGAAGAAGCCAAAAAAGATGAAGTGTTGAGGCGACTTCCCTCTTTTGCCTTGGTACACTTTGCTGCACATGGCCGAATGGAAACAGGCGAAATTGCCTTAGCCCCACGAAGTACTTGCTCATCACAGCCCTTTGTTAAGGCAGAGGATTGTATTCTAACAATGAAAGATGTGTTGGATATTCGGATACGAGCGAGGCTGGTTGTGTTAAGTTGTTGTCATAGCGGTCGTGGAGAGATAAAGGCTGAGGGAGTTGTTGGAATTGCAAGAGCGTTTTTGGGTGCCGGTGCTCGCTCTGTTCTCGTGTCACTGTGGGCTATTGATGACAAGGCTACTCTTGTGTTTATGAAACATTTCTATGAAGAACTGGTTACTGGAAAGCTTGCAAGTGAAGCTCTTAACCAAGCTATGAAGAGCATGAAAGATTCTGAAGAGTTCAGCGATGTGAAGTACTGGGCACCCTTTGTACTCATTGGGGATGACGTCACGCTGGAATGAAATTGAAGATAGGAGCTATGGATATTTTCAAATGTACGTAAGCAAATGTTAATTGATGATGTATTTTGAATCAGGTCCACATCATCGACAGGAACTTCCTCAGTATTTTCAGTGATATAGCTGGCTTTTAAAGGCAAAATGTCTCAGTTTTTGAACGTCCTGATTGTCTCGGCATGTAACAGTATTGTCTGTCAGTAAAAAAGGAAGAGTTGTTGAGTTAGATCTCTGAGGCGAAACTTCAGTTTTAGGCTTTTGTATCAAAAACTTTCCTCTAATTTCTTAGGATATAGTATGAAAGACACAACAGTGTGTACTTGTGACCGTTGCAATTAAATTTTAAAAAATTAATTCCCGTTTACTGATTACGATTGAAATAGTAAAAGTATTTCAAGAGACTCAAGAAGTAATGGGCACGTCCTCAGTTAAAAAATTTTGGCGAATTTTTCTTTTGTTTCTGGAATGATGAGATGGAAGTTTAACTGAAAAGATTTATTCACAAACAATTTATTTCAAAGGACCATGTACTTTATTTGTCGAGCAAAGCAGTTTATGTCGTTAGTAGGTCGTGTTGCTGATGTTTTTCAATTTGAATCTTACGAATGTTTCATTTTCTTTGTAAAATTTTATTCATTTTTAGGTTGCAATTTCCGTTCTTGGTTAATCACAGCACTGTGAATATATGACAATAAAATATATAAGTATATATACTTCATATTAACTTCATTACTGCGAAGGTCACTTTCATATTCATAATCTTTATTAGAGTTTTTAGTTTTTGGTGTTTGGTTTTTAGTTTTTAGAATAGAGTTTTGATATCATGTCAAGATCCTTGCGTCTTATAAATTTCCTTGAGTTGGAATTTTTCTTTCATCAAGCCCTTTCTATAGGGACAGTTTTTGTAGCGAGTTAGGTACAGTGATTGACTCGGAAAGTTATTGTAATTTCTTTGACTTATTTTGTTATCAAGTGAAAATAAAAACTGAGTAACAGAAAGTCCTTTGTTATAGATCTAGGCCCAGTTGTTCAAAGAGTGGATAACGCTATCCAAAGGATAAATCACTATCCAGCGGATAACTGTTAAGAAAACGTACTGCGCTATCCACCGGATGGCGATTTATCCAGTGGATAGCGTTATCCTACTTTTGAACAACGGGGCCTGATGATGGAACTCAGCACGGCAACATCTTGTTTAAGGATAACCCTGAACAATGAAGGATTCGAAGTTCAAGTTGTGTGATTTTGGGGTTGGATGCTGTTGTAGTTGATCATTGTTAATAATAACCTCTGCGAAATTGAAAGGAATGAGATTCGATTTCTCGTAGGGAACTCAAATCTTTTCAATTTTAGTTCCTCTTCCCCTTGTATCACACTCGTTACGATTTTGGAACAGCTTCTTTTTTTCTTCATTTTTCGTTTGAGTCATTGAAGACGTCGTAAATTGTTAACATGTAAGCGAAGGAAGGTTGACGTCGTGAACACTAAGTCTTCCTTACAATACACCTGGCAAATTGTTAGGGTAAGACTTAGAGCGTGCGCTCGATAGAAGGGTTCAGAGAACTTTTACCATGATCATCATGCGTCATAACAAATAAAATGTTTGTGATTCCTTGGAAATAATTATCTTAAAAGTTATTCGCGTGACCCAACACCGCTGGCATAACATTTTCTTGATATTTTCGTCCTGTCCTGCTCTGTTTCACGGGCTAGGGCTATTTCCCCATAATACAACAAAATAATTATGATAAGCATATTCCCACTGCACTGTCTTTTTGCTAGTAGTGTAGTCTGATTGTTTCGGTGGGCGAAGACCTGAACAGAACTGTTGAAGGTGGCAATAGCTTTAAGCGTCAACTATTTAACGCCACTATTTATAGCACTCGTCAAGAGCAACAACAGGCGATTTATGACGTACATACACGTACTTGTTACAATTGGGGGCCAATTGAGAAATCCATCTTCTAAGAGCGTAGTGTCGCCAAGAAAAAACAGTGGGATAGAGAGGGTGAATCAAAATGTTGGCCGAGATACATCGATTTCACTTCATTTATTTTTAGAATTATCACTTTCCTTCTTTTGCCAGACGGCATTCACCGCAAAAGGCATCTCTACCCTCGCCGCCATTTCACCGTTTATTGTTATGTGAACTTTTTATTGAGGTGAGCGTATTGAGGAATTCTCGGAAAACTAACTTCCATTTTGAGGGAATGTCTATAAATAACTTTGTTGAAATTGACAAATCTCAAGGGTTAAACCAGAAGCTTCCCTCCCTCTCCCCCTTATCCTTATTTTTTCTTGATGTTCAATAAAAAATCAGAACTTAACGTTCAGGGCGTCACAAGCTGATCTTTTCAAAACCTGATCACAGATCATCATCTTCATCTGACTCTGATAATGACTTCTGCACAGGTTTTTCAAAAGTTAGTCCATGCCTGTGAGAAAAAATACTTTCTCAAGAGAACCATCCCTGAGAAGATCAAACTTCTCGGTAGAATTTATATCCCAAGTTCAAATCACTGACTGTGGACTGAATAAGCTTGATTCGAAAAGGATCTCGCTCGAAAGAACAGATGTAGTTGCAATTATTATTTCTCAAACCAACTTACGATAACAATGGGTTCAGGAAACATCAGGTGCTGCGGAAAATGTGTAAAGATCAAGGATTGAAGGATGAGGAAAACCCTTCATCATTAACTGAGTTATTGTAAAAGAATTACAACATAGTCGCCACAGAGGAAAAAGACATTCAATATTTCTTTACATTATATAAATCCTTCTCGATGCAAATATTTTAGCAGCCTCGTGTGACCCTGCTGAGATATTTTGTCACCTGACGCTAAAAGCCTTCTGTCGTGCGACAGAAACGTTGACTAGAATGAATGGTCCAGAATTTGGTAACTCGGGCTGACTGCTGTCCAAACACTTAAGTACGTGTGCAGCTCAAGCTTTTATAGCTTTCTTCTGTTAATTCTTACGATGACGGTAGTAAGAGCAGCGTTTTTTTAATAGTCCGAGGCTCTAACATCGTAACTATCACATTTATTTTGGAGTGTGGTTAAGTAACTCTAATGATCTGTAACTGTCTTCTATCTCAATTTCTTATTGGAGGCAAATCAATGCTCGCATTAGTGCCCAGCTGATAGCCCACACCCTTATAAAAAAGAACTGATATCCTAATTCACTGCGCACTATGTGCAGTTAATCGTCATAATGGTGAATATGGCATGATGATACATGTTCTTATTTTTAAAGACTAAGATAACGTGATTTGGAAGCAAATATCTTTCCGTCTATCGTTTAGCGCAATGCTGATAGAAAGCCGACTGCACTTCAATTTGGTTTCTTTATGACTTTATATCTACAATTTCTGCGGAAGATTACATCAAATGTAATGGCCTACGTCAGGAGAAATAATTTCTGGCCTCTGATTACACTTGACTACTGCTGGTGAGTTTTTTACGTGGGCACGGACGGTCAAGAAATGTTCTCCCACAGGTGTTAACTATGTATCTTCATTTCAATGCATAAAAAATCCTTTTGTCTTATCTCATGTTTCTTCAGATATACTATCTTCAACTTTTTCATCAATCAAAATTTCCGTCCATTGTTTGTTGTGAGTCGAGTCATTGCCTGTTGGCTTTTTTTATTTTGGTCTTCGCTCAGTTCATTTGCTGAGCTTTTCAAGGACCATTGGTCAGTCCAAGTGTACAACAAGTGTATTTGTATCTTCTCTGCCCGCGAGCATCGCTTTTTTCCAGACTGAAGCCTTGTAAGAATTCTCTCCTATCACAATGCACCTTGGGATATTTATCGAACCACTCACTTCTATTTACCCAACTGGTGTACCGAGGGAAACATTCCAGATCAGGAAAGTTGCCTGGGGGCCCAATGTCACCCTTTTTCCCAGGAGGGCCTCCATTACCCAAATTTCCTCGTGGGCCTCTGTTTCCTCGCGACCCAGGGGGGCCCGGTAATCCACGGTTTCCGTTATCCCCTTTATTTCCTTTAAGACCTTGTTTGCCTAGTCCACAAAATACTGTGGGGGTAGTGGTGTTGGATGGCGCTGATCTCACACAACTCCCTGGTAGACCGGGAAGGCCTGGAATACCGGATGGGCCACGAAGTCCCTAAAATAGATAAAAGCGCTACAATGTCTCGGGAAGTTTCGAAAATAGCAGACATTTAAAAGTCCTAATTATCATTGCGGATAAATGAAGATGAAGTGTTAGGTACATCAAAAACGTTTAAAAATAGGCTATTTCTTGAGCTGCTATATCCTACAAAAAGGCGTGATTATTGTTATAATGGACATTTTAAAGTGACAAGGGTAACAAACTGTCTGGTAGTCATATTCATATCTTAAGATCTTAATGAGTTGACCTTGGAGGACATTGATAAATGTATTGATTTTAGTTTTAGTATCGTTTCAATGAACTCTGCAGAAATACTGAAAGTTCAAAAAAGTTAACGCTGAAAGTAAATGTCCTTGCCCCATTAACGTCCGTCAAATTGAACTATTGTCCAATAAGTTTTCAATGAGCTCCATAAGTTTTTACCAAAGTCTGCCGTGTCTTCAATTGAGACCTAACGTACTCATAAAATGGATATTCCTACGGATGGAAATGACAACATGCAGTCACAATAATAGTGTCAAAAGTATTTACTACAAACATTAAGTTTGTATTAAGTTCATACTTGTTCTCCTTTTTGTCCCATGATTCCCTTGTTTCCTATAGGTCCACTTATTCCTGGCGGTCCAGGCTTGAGAAAATATGAAAGAATTAATGATAAGTAGATGAATGGGAGGAAAGATTAAAGTGAGGGAACTTTTCGGAAATGTCAATGGTGATTATTTAAAGTGATACCAACGTGAATTTTTTGCCCTTTCGTAATCTGTGAAGGGCAAGAGAACATAATCTCTTGGTAAAAGGTTATACACTGTTTGAATCCTTTTTCATTTCAAGCGGGAAGACTTTTTTCACAATTGTGAAGACTTTTAGGCTACTGTGAAATTTGACCTGATATCCTTTGTGATGTCAGATTCTTCAGGAGACTCTTTGAGTTAGCTAAACTGGTGACAGACAACAGCCTTTTTCTTTGTTTGGAACGTTCACGGCTGGAAGAAAATGAGCTTCATTTACTCACAATTCCTATTGGTCCTGGTTGCCCATTCCGTCCATCTCGCCCATTTTCTCCCTAAAATTAGTAAAATACATTTATCACATAAAATACGGTGTTATACAAGGATTTCCAGCCCTGAGAAAAGCCGTAACAACAGACGTGAAAAGACATCGTATTTTTTCACGTGTGTTGATATAGCCAATCAGGTGCTAACACGTCACTCGCCTTAACGCCACTCGGTCAGGTTGATGAATGAACGGCAAACCCTTCACGATTCTCAATACAAGTCGTTTATCGGAGCTTTCTCGAATTATGGCGGCTAACACTAAGATATCCGTATCGCTGACAGACAATGAGGTTCAAACTTTCCAAGAAATGGAAGAAAATCAATACACTGAAAGAAAAACCGAAAGTTGCGTATTCAGTGGCTTTGGTGTTAGCATTTCTCTCGACTGAGAATGAGAATCGACAACTGGAAGATTTGCCACTAGCCGATATTGGCCGTTTACATGAAAGACTTCTGTCGGTAAGGGCAAAGTCAATAAATGAGAATTTTGTTCATTGAAAATTACGACCATTGTTGTTTTTGTAATCATGATTCAACGCGTTTTTCGATCTTCAGAGTCAGCGCCAACGCACTCTACGATTGTTATTCGAGGATTGTCGACTCATTTATTTTCATTCATTAATGAAGTCGGCTTTTCTTCCCA